ATTATTTGGTTAATAACAGGTATATATGGAGCCATCCATATGTCACTCATGAGGTGACTATTCATGACTCCGATACAGCAAAACATCCATCAACCCTACAGCAGGCAAGGGAACAGTCCTTTCTGTAGAGTGGATTTTACCAGAGGAAACTGCTGCATGAGATCTTTCAGAGAGGCTGTACCATACTTAAAAATACATATATTTATTTATTTTGGGGGAGAATGCAAGCAGGAGAGGGGCAGGGAGAGGGGGACAGAGGATCTGAAGTGGGCTCTGTGCGGACAGGCTGACAGCAGTGAGCCCGGAGTGGGGCTTGAACTCATGAACCACGAGAGCATGACCCGAACCGAAGTTGGACACTCAACTGACTGAGCCACCCAGGTGCCCCTGTACCATACTTAAAAAAAAAAAAAAAATAAGTTTTTATTCATTTAGCTCTAGAGAGAGAGAGAGACAGAGAGTGCACAAACGGGGGGAGGGGTAAGAGAGGGGGAGGGAATCCCAAGCAGCCTCTCCACATTCTCAGCACAGAGCCCGATGTGGGGTTCAAACTCATGAACCATGAGATCATGACCTGAGCTGAGATCAAGAGTTGAATGCTTAACTGACTGAGCCACCCAGGTGCCCCCAGAGGCTGTACAATAGTTTTGACATTAATCTATAAAGAAGTACAGTTGACCCTTGAACAGCATTAGTTTGAACTGTGCAGGTAGGTCCACTTACATGTGGATTTTTTTTTCATAAATACAGTATAGTACTGTAAACGTATTTTCTCTTCTTTATGATTTTCTTAACATTTTCTTTTCTCTAGCTTACTCTATCATAAGAATACAGAATATAATACATATAATATATAAAATATGTGTTACTAGATTGTATGATATTGGTAAGACTTCTGGTTAACAGTAGGCAGTCAAAAGTTGTAAATAGATTTTCAACTATGTGGGGGTCAGTGCCTCTAACCCCTGTGTAGTTGGAGAGCCAACTGTATTTTTATGGAACTATTTGGAGAAGGAAATAGGAGTCAAACAAAGATCTGGCACCATCTATGCTTTCCAAAAGTTTGATATAATTCATTGTTCTCATTTTTAGTCAGATGAACACATGCCTTAAAACCTGTTCTAATTTGGGGACTTAGCCCAGCCTTTCCATTGAACGCCTCCATCTGTCCACAACAGATTTGTTTTTCTTTATTCAGAATATCAGGACAATCTCTCCTGTACCTTCCTTGGTTTGGTAGGAAGGTTTTTAGTCATTTCATGGAGCGAAGAGTTCTTTGAGACTGCCACTGTGTAGTCAATAGAAATTCCCTAACAGAAGGCAGGCGAGGCTGTCTTTTAACCCTATGTGCGTGTTAAAACCACAGTTCCTGGGGTCTATATTGATATCTGATATCTGACAGTGTTTCAGTTTCTGTTCAAATCTGACATCAAGGAATTTGTTTCTTTCAAACTTGGTTAAGTATTAGACATTTTTAATATTCTTTTTTAATTTAGCATTTAGATGCCTTGGAAAGGGGAAGCAACTAACTTAGTTTACTCTGGTGTTGGAAGTTACTTGTTCCAACTTCTATAATTATAGAATTTTAGAGCTGGGTAGAGCATTAGAGATTTGTTCTTCACTTAGTGAATTGAGATTTCAGTTTATTTTATAAATTGTCAGGTACCAGATAAATTTGGCACTTGAAAAAAATTTCCCGGTTTTTCTTCTATCTATATAGATCCTAAAATCTCTAAGCAAGAGATTCAATTGAATTTTACACTTAACAAGCAGCTCCAGTGTAGTGGGTTGCTGACTACAAAAAGAAGTATAAATTATGGTCTTTGACCTTAAGGATGGGCTCCAAATGTGAACAGATAATTGCAAAATTATGTAATAAGTTTATTATTAGAAGTATGAATGGAATGTTTTGATAGTTTTAAGGCTTTTAACGTAGCATGGGGAAGTCCCAGAAGACTGGAGGTGCTACTGGATTCTGAAGGATTTATGTGTGTGTGTGTGTGTGTGTGTGTGTGTGTGTGTGTAGCTGGTTGTGGTAGTAAGGGCATTCCAGACAGAGGGAAAGGGACTGCTGTTGCCAGAAACAAACAGTACTGATAGTGACAGTGTAGGAGTCAGTGAGATATTACAAAGGACCTCTATAAGTCGTGGGTCATATAGGTTTAATTCAACAGATAGTTGTTGAGGTCAACTTTGCGGAAACTATCTGCCACCAAATAACATGCCCTGCACATAAACATGGCAGTGATTGTATGCTCTTTCTTATTCTCAATATTCTGTTGAGAATATTAAATATTCATAATTTGAATGTTTAAAAAAACTCATTAAAAATTAAGCCTAAATGTATCAAGTTTTAAGAAAGATCAAATGTAAAATTGTGATGGAGGCTGGCTACTATTATCTTCTCTTGAAGCTCTCCTCAACACTCAGGTCTTCATCTTCCCCTAGCCTACCAGCCCATTCAGTCAAATCCTCACCCTTCCATCCTTCTTTGCTTTCTCAGTAAGGCAAACCTAAAACTCAGAACCACCCCTTCTGAATGAGCATGAGTGCTGCATTATGACTAGGAAGTCAGATAAGTCATCAAAGATTAAAGAAAAGGGCGGGAGAACTTAATGATATTTCCCTTACCATGGTAGATGATGACCTCAAAATGCTATTAGGGAAACAGTGGTAAAATTTTCTTATTATTCTCACATTTTTTCTTTGTATATTATGTAGGGGTCACAGAATGATATAACCACCAGTTATGTCAGTGTCTTGCACCTAATGGGTACTTAAAACATATTTGGTGAATGACTAAGTATAATTCAATAAGAAAAACAAATAAAATTACATAGCCTCTGGGAGAACTTGATATCCACACGCCAAGAACGAAGTTGGATACCTATCTCACTCCATATACAAACATTAAATCAAAGTGCTTGGGGGGGTGATTAATGGGGAATGACTGCTAATAGATACAGATTTCTTTTTTGGAGAATAAAAATGTTCTGGAATTAGATAGTAGTGATGATTGCACAATTTTGTGAATATACTAAAAGCCAATGAGTTGTACATTTTAAAAGGGTGAATTTTATGGTATGTAAATTATATCTCAATAAAAAAGTAGATGCAAAAAATCAAAACAAATAGCAACAATAAAACCACAGTCAGAGAGTTGAATTAAGGCTCTTATTCAAACGTTCTATACCTAGGTAGTCCTAACACTGAAGAGGAATATAAGTTAAAGATGAAAAAAACCCACTTTTTAGTCAAAATTGAAGGTAATCAAGAAAGGTACTATATTTCAATAATTCTAAGATGCATATTTTTTCACATTTCTGAATGCGAATGCATCTTATAATTGATGGTAGGTCCAGTTTATTTGGCTGATTTTTCTTTATGGTACATAAAATTGTGATAGGTCTTAGAGTCAATGAAGTACTGTACTTTTTTTTATTTTTTAATTTATTTTATTTTTTTATTATATGAAATTTATTGTAGCAACGTGGATGGAACTGGAGAGTGTTATGCTAAGTGTACTTAATTTTTAGAATAATGTGGCAGAGCTGCTAATTGCTTTTCAATATGTGTTCTCCTCTTCCCACACAGTAATAATAACTTTAATAATAATAATACATGGGGGTGCCTGGGTGACTCAGTTGGTTAAGCATCTGACTTCAGCCTAGGTTGAACTCGGCCAGAGTTCGAGCCTCGTGTCTGGCTCTGTGCTGACAGCTCAGAGCCTGGAGCATGTTTCAGATTCTGTGCCTCCCTCTCCCTCTCTGTCCTTCCCCCGGTCACGCTCTGTCCTTCTCTCTCTCTCAAAAATAAATAAACATTAAAAAATTATAAAATAATAATAGTACATGTTTAATACATTAAAAAAAAATTAAAACTTAAAAAAATAAATTTTTTTACCTGGGTAAAAGATTATATTCCTGTTTTCCTTATAGCTATGTGTGGCCACATGTCTGAGTTCTGGTCAATGGTATATAAGCAAAGTAGTATGTGCAACTTGTGGTTTGTGCCTTTAAAGAGAAAGAAAGTTCTCTTCCATCTCTTCTTTCTCTTTTCCTCCTCTCCTATATCTTTCCTTCCCTCCTCTCTGCCTTCCTCCTCCTTTATTCCCTTCCTTCTAAATGGCATGTATGTGATGGTTTGAGCTAAGCAGCCATCTTGATCCATGAGATAGAAACCACCTGTTGAGGGTGGTAAAGCAATGTGAAAAGATACCTGAGTTCTTAATGATTATGAAACCGATATACTAGCCCTAGACTCATTATGCAGACTTTTATGGGAGAAATGCAGTTCTAGTTTAAGTCACTCTTTTTTTTTTTTAAGTCACTGTTATTTTGGGTTTCTCTGCTATAGGAGCTGAATAATGTTCTATCTAATGTGAATGGCTTCTGACTTCAATGTTTCTGTAAGTAAATTATTATTACTTTCTTCAGTAGGCTAATTCTTTTCCTAAGCAACACACACACACACACACACACACATACACACACACGATCTGTCTGGGCCAAAAATGAGTTACCAAATATAGCATTTACTTATAAGGAATATATTGTGAATAGCTTTTTACTTTTCATTATCATGGAAAGATGACTGCAACCCCCATTCAGTCTATGTTTCTAAATAATACCTTTGTTAGGACTGTCTGTTCAGTGCAATGGGAGACAGCTTTTTCAGTGCAATTGAGATTTCTTGATAATGCTAAATCTGCCTTGTCAGCTGAATTCCTCTGGCTTTGTGCTGCACTGTGGTAAAAATACATGATCGGATTTCACTGTTAAGAAAATTCTTTCAGCAATACATGTACAGTCAAGTTTATTGCCTGGATAGCTGAGCATGTGGGTTATGAGATTTAAAAAAATGTTTCATGACAAAACTTTATGGAAATGCAACAATCTGGAAGTCTAGTTCTGTCGAAGAGAGGTAAGGCTGTGAAGAGTTGTGCTGTTGGGGGCTGATACCACTCTGTCCTTTTGACTATCACACTCTTTCTTGGTTCTTCATATTTGAGGAGACGGGACGGTGAGGAGGCCTGTTGGCTTGATCTTATTAATGCCGCCATCGAGAATACATATTCTTGGATATTTCATCTTCACAAGGTGAGCTGCGAACTGGAAAAAAAAAAAGGCCAAATTTATAGAGGATATACAAAATCTGTACTTCTCTAATTCCAATTTATTTCTCAAGCTGTGAAAGACAAAACTTTTTTTTTTATTATTATTTTGAGAGAGAGAGAGGGAGAGAGAGAGAGAGAGAGAGAGAGGATGAGTAGGGGAGGGGCAGAGAGAAGGGAGAGAGAGAATTCCAAGCAGGCTCCGTGCTGTAAGCACATAGCCCTATATGGGGCTACATCTCACAAACTCTGAGTTCATGACCTAAGCCAAATCAAGAGTCGGATGCTTAACCAACTGAGTCAAATAGGCACCCCAAGACAAAACTACTTTCATAATACTATCGCTGTCATTGTTGTATCAATGAATCATTAATTGGGCTTTCAATGTAAATCAAATAACCATTTAACATGTTGACAGCTCTTTATGCTTTGGGATAAATATGTCTCTTTAGTTCTCTTTTAAACTTGTTGGGATAGGCAATAAATATACATGATAAATATCCAAACAATATAAAAGGTATATAGTGAGAAGTAAATTCCTCCTACCTCTCTTCTCAGTTTCTCTTTCCAGAGGTCATTAATATCACTATTTTTCATGTATTCTTCCAGTGATAGTCAAAACATTCTCAAATCTATTTGACATTTGAATAATTTTTGACATTACTGTCAACTTATTAGTTACTGCAATTCCATATATAATGTCCCAGAGAGGGCCCATAACCTTGCTGTAACATGTTTCTGGAGCCACTTCAATGAACAGTTTGAGACCATAAACTTGGAATGAATTCTAAAGACTGATCTAGGACATCTTCTAGATGGCTACCAAAACAGGACATTGAAAAGTTATCAAGACACAGGGCACCTGGATGACTCAGTCAGCTGAGTGTCTGAATCTTGATTTTAGCTCAGATCATGATCTCACGGATCGAGCCCCCCACTGGGCTCTGCACTAACAGCGCAGAGCCTGCTGGGATTCTATCCCTTTCTCTCTGCTCCCCTATATCTCAAAATAAATAAATAAACATTCAAAAAAAGTTATCAAGACATCCACACACATCTCCTTGACTTGGCCCATGTCTACCTATCCAGAATCATTGGTTATCTTTCTCCATTCCCTCAACCTTATGATAAAGCAGTCCTCAACTGCTTGTCAATCCCAATAAAAATGAGATCACTTTAGGATTCAGAGCATTTTGGTTGTGCAAGTTTCCCTTTGTTGGGAATAGTTATTTCCCACCAGCTCCAGGATATCTTTTAGTTCTTCCTCAAAAGCCACCTACTTACCCCCCACCAGCCTAATTTCTACTTATGTCCCTACTCAGGCAATTTCTTCTCTACACATTAGGTCTCCCTTACAAATCCCCTCTTCTCAGCCCCCAAAATTTCTTGGGCAAATCCCTGTCTTTTGCTTTCCATGTTTATTTGAGTTGCTCATTTAAGAGCCTGCTTTCTCTACCAAACTGTAAACTCCCCTAGGACAGTGAGACTGTTCTGTTTCCTTTTATCTCTAGCACCTGGCACATGACAGTCAAAATATGCTTGTTAGACTGGACTAAAGTCTGACAAATGACATATAACCTGGCACAAAAGGATGAAGGAAAGAAGGGTTTTCTTGGACTCTGGCCATTCTATTTCCATTTCCTCCCCTTGGTGGTGTCCTATTCCTCCTCCTTGGGTATTTGTGTCCTCACATTCTTTTCAATTACTTTGTCATAACCTAATCTCAGATCCTTGAAGAAAAATGAATAATGCCTATTGACAGTGCTACTGGGAGTATCTGAAGCCTAACAGCTGGTAAAGTCTCGAGCCAGCAGTCTGGAGACCTTATGGTTCAACAGCTGAGTGGTTTGGTCAGGATCAATTCAAGGCCTCAACCCCAGGTATTCCACTTTATTTATTTTTTTTAAAATTTTCTTAACGTTTACTAATTATTGAGAAACAGAGACAGAGCATGAACATGGGGGGTGGGGCAGGCAGAGAGAAGGGGAGACACAGAATCCGAAGCAGGCTCCAGGCTCTGAGCTGTCAGCACAGAGCCTGATGTGGGGCTCGAAGTCACAAACTGGGAGATCATGACCTGAGCTGAAGTCAGACATTTAACCGACGGAGCCACCCAGGAGCCATGGAATTCTGCTTTATCGATCTGGGGCTCAAGAGTGTGATTTTGTTGTTGTGGTGGTGGTTGTTGTTTTAAACAAACATCACTAGAGGATTCTAAAGCAGGTAGTCTGAGGACAGTATCTTGAAAAACAGCAACTAGGGGCGCCTGGGTGGCGCAGTCGGTTAAGCGTCCGA